TCTGCATATCGTACAAATAACAAGCTGCCTATTCTTAGGCCTAGATTTAATTGCTCCTAGCCCACCAACTGCTGCTTCCTATTAGCACTGTATATCGTACAAATAATAAGCTGCCTATTCTTATTCCTACATTCAATTGTCCCTAGCCCGACAGCTGCTGCTTCCCATCAGCACTGCATATCGTATAAATAACAAGCTACCCATTCTCAGTCCTACATTCACAAGTACAGCTTGCTCTCCATGTCCCACTAGCGTCCGCTCATACATCTTTGGTCTTGCCGCATCACTTCCACACCCATACGCAGAGCCGAGTACCAGCGCAAACGGCAGATGATGCGTGAGAAGCAGCAGGGGTCAGAAGGCGCCATACCCACAGCACCGGCCAGCCAACCACTGCCACGGCCAGCCCTGCCCCCGAATGTTTCGGGTGTACCCAAAACCCCAGCGAATTCGGTGCAGAACTTGACCTCACAGTACCCCGCGGGGAGTGCGGCCACGGGCGGACAGGTGGGCGCTGGAGAGGACATTCGGCCCAGGAAACCAAAGGTAACAATAATTGTACCGTTCCCGGGGTGATTTCTCGTGGGGTTAGGGTCATTTTAGGGTCTTTTATCGCTACTCTGGGCTGAGATGCGCAAGGGTAGGGCCGGGGGTGACGCAGATATGTCCCTTTCCGAAAAGCCCTCATTGACCTATGTTTTCAATGCGTAGGGTTCGTATATGGCAATCGTATCGCAATAGCTCAATCCCCGCATGTGCATCCCTTCAGTGTATATATTCGTTACCGTGCACCGGCATATAATATCATCAATACTAAACTCATTCGCTCACCATCTCATCCTCCACCGTCCCCGCTACACCAGGCGACCAACTCAACTGCGATGCTGGCCAAGTCAAATGTGACGTCTATGGTAGACACCGCTCTGCTCTCTAATGTCAGCGAGTTGGAGCTCAACTGCGGCCCAGGTGCCGAGGTATGTGCATGTTATGCATGTTATCTGCGGATGTCTTAGTTGACCTTATCTGCAAGATATGCAGGTATTCTATGCCGACCCATCAACGCCTGCGATCAACAGCACCGTTTGAATTCGGTTGGGTATGCTACGGCAAACGTATAGCAACGTATAACAGATGTGCACTGAGGAGTGTATGTCTTGGGGCTATATTTCTATAGTGTGTAGTGGCCAATGAATTAACGTACAGCATATGTGCACTGGGGAGTGTATGTTTTGGGGGCTATATTTCTATAGTGTGTAGTGGCCAATGAATGAGCGTATAACAGATGTGCACTGGGGAGTATAGGTCTTGGGGCTATATTTCTATAGTGTGTAGTGGCCAATGAATGAGCGTATAACAGATGTGCACTGGGGAGTGTATGTCTTGGGGCTATATTTCTACAGTGTGTAGTGGCCAATGAATGAGCGTATAGCAGATGTGCACTGGGGAGTGTATGTCTTCGTATAGCTGATGTGCGCTGGGAGTTTACGTCTTTTTCTCAGTGGTGCTTATCTCCCAATCACTGCTGAACGTTTATTACATTAGCGGGATATCATATCCACAGACCAAAATCCCTACCTGTATCAACTTTAAACTAACCAAATACATGCCCACCCACACATCAGGGATCCAACAACCCGAATCGGCGGTCCTACCGCAAGCCCCCCAATTCTCAGCCAATGCAACAAATGGGCCGCAGCACCACCATGGGTACTATTCAACAGAACACCACGCCGCAACAACTTGCACTCGCACACGCACACGATGCAGGAGGTGCGGGCAACGGCACCAACAACAAAACGAGCCTAGCAGCAAAGAAGACCAACTTAAGTGGTACTATGAGCGGTGGGTTGAGCTCAGAGAATGTACTTGGCCCGGTTGTGGGGGGTGTGAGAAATTACACGCAGCCCGCTACACCCACGTCGTCAGCCGAGGCTCTGCAACTCAGGGCGTTTGCGAGTTCGGCGAACGATATGAAGCCGCCTGCGGCGACGGTGAACGCGCACGCTGGGCCGTTGACTGGGGCACAGCTGTATAGTAGCAACGCGTACGCCTCTCAGCCTGCGTTAGTGGGGACAGGCATGCAGTCGCCTAAGGTCCAGACAACCCAACAGCCTATGCAGCAAAGCACACAGGCACAGACACAGATCGCCCAGGCGGCTACGGTACTCACGGCACAACAGCAGCAATATATACAGCAACAACAGTACTTACAACAACAACAGCAGCAGCAGCAGCAGCATCACCAACAACAGCAGCAAATACACCAGCACCAGCAATGGCAACAAGAACAAACGAAGCAACAGCAGGCGCAAGGGCAGCAGCTGTAGTACGACACACGGTGATGGACAATCGCTTGCGTTGTCTACACGAAGACAAGACCCCCCCTCACCCCACCACCACCACAGCCCCCCCCCCGTCTTCTCCTTAACGCTCAGAAGCTCGCTGTGTATGTCAGTCTGACATTGCAGTAACACCGCTGTTCTCCTTTATCGGAGACAGAGGACATTTTAGTAAAGCACATATGACCACGACCACAGTAGTCACCCACAGGGGTTTATTGACGAAATTACTAGTGTATCTGTATTGAGGATGTCCCTGGTGTGTGTCATATATGTTGTTGTGTATGCTCCAGCCATTTCAGCGAATTTCCGTGGCGTGTTTATATGTCTTATCCATTTCTTGTCAGTCACTTAAGGCCTAACCTCACACTCGTAGTGTTGAGACTGTGTCCAAATACATGCGATGTTGCAGTGGCTTCCAGTGGCGTGCTTGCGTCTTATCAGTGCACTTGAGGCCTATCTGCGCATTTGTAGTGTTGAGACTGTGTCCTTGTCTGCAAGTGCATGCGACTGCAATGCGCCGTGGCGATCTGAGGGTGTGGCCTTGGTACCACGCGCCGATCTGGAGAATGAGAAAGCCCTTTCATGCTTGTGTGTACATACGATCTATTCGGATCTACAAGTATCTAGGCCGTGTGTGTACATACGTTGACATTAAAGTAGTGGGGTCTACAAGTATCTAGGCTGTGTGTGTACATACGTTGACATTAAAGTATTGGGGTCTACAAGTATCTAGGCCGTGTGTGTACATACGTTGACATAAAAGTATTGGGGTCTACAAGTATCTAGGCTGTGTCTTGATTCTGCTGTGATAGCTACATCCATGCCGAGGTAATCAATCGTAACCGTGTAATTAGTTCGAGTGTATCTGCAACTCTGTCTCAGACGACAACAAACCAAATCCGGTAGCCTGTTGCTTGGTAGAGCATGTACATAACACTCAGCGAGCAGCACAAGCCACACGCAACCTGTGCCAACGCACTCGGGTATGTACACTGACGCACCACGCGGATGGCCTCGACGTTTGATGTGATGGTCAGTGCGAAGATGACCCAAGTGAAGTAGACGCCCTGTTATGGATCAAGGGATGCAGCAAGCGCAATAGACGGCACATGAGTTCTAGGCGGGGTCCCACAGGTTTAGGGTTTTGGACGGCTGATGCCGGTGAGCGTACATGTCCGTGGCCCAACACTGTATGCGCTTGGGCTGGAATGTAGTCATCGTGTATCGTTCCCAGCCCTCAAAAATTGCCCTGGCAGTCCGAAAACAGGACAAAAAAAGGCCCACCTACACCTGCCCAGGAGGTCTGGGGCCAGGGCAAAAATGGCCCACTTATTCTTTCTTGAGTCGAGAGTTTGGGCATCACATGCGGCCCCGCCCGACCTTCAGAGGACAGAGTGCTTGCAAGTCACACGCTTGTTATTTGCCTACCACGAGTACGTGCTGGCTACGATGAGTCATTATTTGGCGTACAAAGAAGGTGACTACGGCATGTGCGCGTGCGTTGTAACGCTGGGTGGTAGCTTTAGATCGTTGGTGCAGGGATACGTACAGGGTGCGGTGTATGTCTCAATAGATGTGATGCAAATGCTGTACTGCTAATGGCCAATTGAAGTGAGGTTTACGAATGTGAAACGGAGGAGAACAACTCTGTACGGATGCGAAGGTACATTCACACACTTTAATTAAGAACATTATTAAAATCATACGCGTAATATAAATAGCCCTCCATTACACCCCACTGTATGGATGCGAAGGTACATTCGCACACGTTAATTAAGAACATTAATAAAACCATACGCGTAATATAAATAGCCCTCCATTACACCCCACTGTACGGATGCGAAGGTACATTCACACACGTTAATCAACATTAATAAAACCATTCGCGTAATATAAATAGCCCTCCATTACACCCCAGTGTACAAATGCGAAGGTACATTCACACACGTTAAGCACATTAATAAAACGATACGCGTAATACAAATAACCCTCCATTACACCCCACTGTCCGGATGCGAAGGTACATTCACACGCGTTAATTTAGAACATTCATAAAACCATACGCTTTGCCATGTGCAACACACACCTTGTATATCCAAACCCACTGCAATGTGATCAATAGCTTAGGAAAGCTCGACAGGGCCAATGCGGAAACGATCATCCAGTTGGAGCAGCGACCAACATTCAACAGAATCAGAGCGAAGCTGTACGTGGCGAAGGCGACTGTGGACACACCCAGCGCCTGATAGCATACGTATGACGTAGATTAGAAATGTCAGTGCACATGTTTGTTAGTGTGTATGTGTGTGTGTGTATGTGTTAGTATATATATATATATATATATATCTATATATATACTA